ATAAGGTGGATAGAAAGTTGGCTAGATTGTTGGGCTCAACGGGTAGTGATCAATGGCTCGATGTCTAGTTGGCAGCCGGTATCAAGCAAAGTTCCCCAGGGGTCGGTCTTGGGGCTGGTTTTGTTCAGCATCTTTATTAATTATCTGGATAATGGGATGAACTGCACCCTCAGCAAGTTCGAAGAGGACACTAAGCTGGGGGGAGAGGTAACTACGCTGGTGGGTAGGGATAGGGTACAGAGTGACCGAGACAAATTGGAGGATTGGGCCAAAAGAAATCTGATTAAGTTCAACAAGGACAAGTGCAGAGTCCTGTACTTAGGATGGAAAAATCCCATGCACCACTACAGGCTGGGGACTAACTGGCTAAGCAGCAGTTCTGCAGAAAAGGACCTGGGGATTACAGTGGACGAGAAGCTGGATATGAGTCAGCAGTGTGCCCTTGCTGCCAAGAAGGCCAACTGGATATTGGGCTGTATTAGTAGGAGCATTGCCAGCAGATCGAGGGAAGTGATTATTCCTCTCAATTCGGCACTGGTGAGGTCATACACTGAGTACTGTGTCCAGTTTTGGTCCCCCCACTACAGAAGGGATGTGAGCAAATTGGAGAGAGTCCAGCGGAGGGTAACGAAAATTATTAGGGGGCTCGGGCACATGACTTATGAGGAGAGGCTGAGGGAACTGGGGTTATTTAGTCTGCAGAAGAGTGAGGCCGGATTTGATAGCTGCCTTCAGTTACCTGAAGGGGGGAGATTCCAAAGAAGATGGAGCTAGGCTGTTCTCAGGGTGGCAGATGACAGAACAAGAAGCAAAGGTCTTAAGTTGCAGTGGGGGAGGTCTAGGGTGGATATTAGGAAACACTATTTCACTAGGAGGGTGGTAAAGCACTGGAATGGGTTACCTAGAAGGGTGGTGGAATCTCCACCCTTAGAGGTTTTTAAGGCCCGGTTCGACAAAGCTCTTTGCTGGGATGATTTAGTTGGTGTTGGTCCTGCTTTGAGCAGAGGGTTGGACTAGATAACCTCCTGAGGTCTCTTCCAACCCTAATATTCTGTGACTCTATAAGGCTGCCTCAGAATTACGAGAGAAGTGTCTTACGACATTGTTGCCTATTTCTCCACTTTCCAGGAAAAAGTGTTTCCTTACACCTTTTAATCTTTACCAGCTCATCAACACAGTGCGAGGACACACCAATCCTAATCACATGGGAAAGCTGGTCCAGCTACCCATCAATGATGGTCACAATTCCTAGAGAGGCATGGTTCCAAAAATCAGTTCAGTCTGCAGGTTCTCCTCTTCTGTAAAGATGTATATGGCTAATGACCATACCCTGAATAGAATCAGAATAGCACCCATCTCCAGATACTTCCCGTTAATGCCACACAAGCAACTTGGCACAGCACTTCAATGGAGATAGCAGGACAGAAGTTGCTGCCAAAACAAGGCATCTGATAAGTTTTGTTGAGGTTCTCGGTGCAGACTGCATCCCCTTTAGACTGCACTATCTTTCTGTTCTGTTTGTACAGCGCTTATCAAAGAGGGTCCCAGTCCACGACCAGGGCTCTTACCATGACCATCACCACAGTAATACAATTAATAGAATAACAAAGTTGTGTCTGCCTGACCACTGCGGTGCAAGTGTACCACTGCATCATCTCAAAAATGGAACAGTCAACTTTGACCATGAACCTGAATTACTGGAATAATTCAGTCACAAGGAGTCCCATCTTCAGATGCCATCCAAAGCTTGACAAGGGTACTCTAAAAGGTTTCAGTTTGGGGCTGCCTGAAGTCAAAAGCTGCAATGAGCCCCACAGAGCCTCTTGCTTTCAATCCTGCTGCAGAAAAAGCTTCTCCTCTCAAGAGGAATAGCTCAGTACTATAGACTTAACTAACAAAAACTGCAAGTTCATAAGGTGCTGCTGACCCTGACCTGCTTACATGACAACTGGAGTAGATAGTGCTACAGTGGTTTCAGCCATTCTCTTCAGTTTTTGAGGAGGAAACTGCTCCTCTATCAAAACTCCTCACTTGCAGTCCCACATGGATTTATCTTATGCTGAAGAGGGTGATGCACATCATATCAGGACACAGAATTACTGGCAGAAGTAATACAAAAATATCAACTATGTGAACAGTCAATATGATTTTACCATATTAATGACATGTCCAGTCTCATTTTGCCTCAAACAAAGCTATAAAGATTTTAAGATTTAACTGTATGAACAACTCTAATTTTGTCCATGTGATTACATATGCTGTACTTGGATCTACTACATTTCACTATTCTAAACAGAAGTCATAATATTTTTATAATGATCTTTTGAATACATTAAGTAAAGTACTGAAATTCTCACCCATAGAAATTTTTGCCTTATATTTCCCTAAATTTGATGTACCAAGACCAGTACTGAAGTGAGATGATCTAGTGGATTAAGCATACGATTAGCAATAGTGAGCCTTGTGTTCTAAATGCCACTGAATGGATGTGAGGCTCTGGCAAGTCACTTCCTCCACTAACAAGTACTAATTTTCCTTTCATACAAGGTCATTCTGAGAATGAATGTTTAAACAAAATATTGGATAGGACAATCTTCAATTAATTATAGTTAAGGCTACGATTTTGTCAGGGATATTTTTAGTAAAAGTCAGGGACAGGTCACAGACAAACAAAAAATCATGGAAGCCTGTCCTGATTTTTACTAAAAACATCCCTGACAAAATGGTGAGGGAGGAGGGCCCAGCACCCTGCCCCCTCCCCCCCACTTCAGAGGCTGGGAGGTGTAGGGATGCCATTGCCCAGTGGCTAGGAGGGGGCCCCCTGCAGGGCTGAAGCTGGGGGGTCCCCCCACCGCCATGCAGGGATGGGAGCTACAGGGTGGGCCCCCTCTGCCAAAAGTGGCAGAGGAGCTGGGGGAGGGGGACGCTGCCCCTAAGCAGCTCCGGGTCCGTCTGCTACCACCAGCTGGGGAGCTGTGCCTCCTCCTCTCCCTGCCCAGGGCCATTGAGCAGCTCTGGGGTCCCTCTGCCGCTAGCACCTGCGGGATGGCCCCAGCTACGCACAGTGGCTGAGCCACTGCAAGGGGGACCCCTGCCAGCAGCAGTGACTAGGCAGCTCCGGGGGTCACCACCAATGGCGGACCGGTCAGTTGTGTGTATGTGTGGGGGAGACCGCCACCCACAGCTACTGGGCAGCTGCGGGAGGGTGCCCTACCACTCAGTGGCTGGGCTGCTGTGGGTTCCCCCGCTGCAGGCAGCAGCTAGTCAGTTCCATGTCATAATCTTAGCCTTAATTATAGTGGCGCATTTCCTTAATGTAGGGAATGCCAATTAACAAACACTATATAACAACATAAAGTTGTCTAGATGCATGCAATAAACTATTGTAGATGTGAGTACATGGCTATCAAAAACTCCAAAGGGACAGTTTATTCTCCTGATTACTCAAGAACAGGCTCTGTGGCTAGTTACTCAGTTTTGCTGCGCTGTTTGCTCCCAGTGGTCTTTGCACTTTTTTACACCAACTATAAATCACGGCTTCGGGAGGCAGATCTGGGCATTTCCTGCCCTGGGTTACTCAAATCTGTTAAGTGGCTCTGCTTGTCCTCCTCCTGCCGCAACAAGGTAAGTAAATGCTGCAAGCGGCGATTAACACCAGCAAGCCGCTTTCGGGAACTGGATCCAACACCCGAGGAAACAAGCCGGATGCGCGTGCAATGGAGCCGACTGCCACCAGGTCTCCTGGGCAGCGCGGAGAGTGCGCAGGACACCAGGGAATCACGGCGACAGAAGCGAACTTAAGACGACACCTCCCGCCCCCCAGCCGTGGAGCCGCACCGGCCACACAGGGCCCCCCGCGCTGGGGACAGCGGGGCGCTCCGGGTGCACGCGGCCGGTCAGTGCCCGGATCGGGACGCGCCTCCCACCCCCGGCCGGGGAAGGAGCGAACTCCTGCGGGGCGCCAGCGCATGGGCCCGCCACAGCGCTCGAATTTGGGGGAGGGGCGGCCCCCACCGTTTACAGCCCCCGGCCCCAAGAGGAGCCGCCCGCGCGGGCCCGCCCCGCTCCCGCCTCACCTTCCCCCGCCGCCGCCGCCGCCCATAGCAGGGCCAAGCAGGCCGTGGCGAGCAGGAACCCCGGTGTCCGGCCCATAGCTCGGTGTCTGACTGACGGGGCGGCTCAGACTCCTCCGCGACCAACCGCAACGACGCTCGCTCTACAGCTCCCAGCCCAGCTACGTCATGTGAGCAAGTGGGAAGGGCGTGGCGCTGACCTATTACGTAGAAGCGACTGGCCCCGCCCCCGCTCAGGATTCGGTCCGTCTATTCGCCGCGCCTCATCCTCCACCCCTCTGGTACAATGGAACAGTCCCCAGCCGAGCGCCAGGGCGGTGGCAGAACACGCCCCTTCTGCACGTGACCGCATCCGGCCTCGGTGCCCCCCATCAGGTGACGGCCGTCCCGCCCTCTCGGGCAATCACACGCCCCTCGAGCCCCGCTGTCGGGGCTGGTGAGAGAGTGGGACAAGGCCTGCCCGCCCCACCCCCGCGCGCTGCGCTGACGCTGACAGGGAGGGGCCTGGCGCGGCCGCACACGGGCAGGGTTGGGTGAGGGAATTGGGCCAAGCTGGAGGCGCTGCCTGCCGGGCCCAGCCTGGCACCGTGCAGCCCCCAGCGCGCTCACAGCACGGGGCCGTAGAGCCAGAGGAGCTGGGGAAAGGAGGCGGCTGAGGCTCCGCACAACGCATCTGCGCCCAACATTTAGCGCCACGTTGTGCACAGACTTACACGGTGATCAGCCCATTAACGTCAGCGGGAGCTGCAGGGTGTAAACGAGCGTAGAGGCCTTGGCTGTTGGTATTTGTCCCTGGCGCCGCCCCCACCTCGCTGAACACCTGTCCAGAGTGCACGCAATAAACCACCCCAGGTTGCATCATTCAAGGGTTTGTTCTCACACCTCCATCTCCACCGAAATCATTCATCGTTTTAAGAATACCAAAGACCAACTCCCCTCAGCCCATCCTCCCGCGCTGCAGAGGGGAGTGCCTTGCAACACTATAGTCAGGTCAGGGCTCATATCCATAACAGGTATATGACCTGTTCTGCAACAGTTTAGTAAAATAACTATTTAAAAACCTAATGTACACACTGCATCCCCAGCAACGTGAGATTTGGAAAAATGAGACAGGAAACCTCTTAAAATAAGCTTGCCACTCCATTACTTGTCACTTTGACTCCATGTTTTTCTCCAGAGTTTTTTGGAAAAATAGCAGTGTAAGGGAAGAAGTGTTCAGCTGATAACGTGAATACACCCAGGAATAGTCTCCTGCACAGAATCCAATTCAAGCCCTGTGTCCAGATGTAATTTAGTGCAACCCTCTGCAGATTCTTAAAAGGGAGACAGTTCTTAAAACCCAAAAGTGAAACAAGTTAAAATGCAGCAGTTCTCCATCCCCCCCTCCACAGTCACAATCTGTAGGCCACCCAACCAAGAGGTAACAGCCACACTGGTCCCTAGTTGCTTGGCCCAGTTCCAGAACCCCCCTCTTCAAGCCATCTACCTCACAGTTAATAGTCCCTATTTTTTTTATTCCTGTGCCAGGGCTTCCACACATCTGACAGTTCTCCATGTTCCTTGCAACTCTTCTTTCCTAGCCCTCAACTCAGCTTCCCCCTTTCATCTGCAACCCTGCTGAGCAGCTTCTCAGGGGAACCTCTCTCCAGAATCAACCCTCCTTTCCTTGGCTGAACCTTCCTTAACTAACATGGTTCATCCTCCTTTACTTTCATGACTTCTGCACAAACCTTATAATCAGCAGGGTTCCCTCACCCTGGCCATTTTCTCCCACAGCTCTCACCAGTTCTCTCTCTGCCAGCTTTCAACTAGGGCTTTGTCAGGTCTCTCACAACTACTGCAAGCTCCCTGCTCCTCCTTCCTACTCTCTTTTCTCAACTGTTGACTGGATCTTTATAGAGGACAGATGCCTTCTATCAGGAGTCATCCATAGATGAACTGGACACATTCCCTCTTAAAGGTGCCAGTCACATTCAGACAATCCCCCATGACTACTTCCTACTAAAGGAATTAATGTAGTTTATGTAAATATTTTTGCTTAATAGGCATCTCTTGTTACTGAAGAGAAACAAACACTATTTAACAAATAATTTTCCAGTCATTTTTCTTTTAATTAGAAAATCTATTAACTTGTCCATTTCAACTTTGGCATAGAACGAAGCAATGAAGATAATAATTCTATAATCAAATGACAGTGGGAAATTCTATTGGTTCTGATTACCAGAATCCAAATGCTAACACAAAAAGTCATTGTTATACTTAGCTCTTAGAAATTTTCATCTGTTGCTTTCAGAGTGCTTTACACAGGAAGGTAAAGTAAAAATTCAAAGACTTTTGCCAGTTGCAGACATGTTAGAGAGATTTTAATTGTTATAGATTACCTTCCTTGAGATTCTGGGACACTTTTTCATTTTCCACACTCTTGTCAGCCATTTGCCAGCTTCTGTTGAAACCATCTGCTGTCACTACCCCTGTGCTATGCCTAAGAGAGATCTTTCATCTCAGAAATTACTACTACGGCAACTGGCAATGAATTGTGTGTTTAGTCTCCTGAGTCATAAATAAAGGTGTTTTTACAGCATTTAGATAAACATTGACTTCTTTATGTGGAACTTCCACACTCACTGAAACCACATCTACTCATTGCTATTCACTTATCCAAGATATCCATGAGATTTTGCAAATAGGGTATAGTTTATAATTTCCTGTTTTGGAGTAATTTTAGCATTTTAATGGACTCAGTTGAGTCCAAATATCTTAATAATTTGATACAATCTGGAAACAAAATAATTAAATATATGTCTAGGGCCTGGGTCTAATGTTATGTATAATGGTTTTACTCTGGTGTAGCTCCATTGACTTCAGTGGTAACTCTTGGTTTAAACTGGTGTAAGCAAGATCAGACCTCTAATATTCAGAGACCACCCAGTACCGCCCTTATGTTGAGTTGTACCTTACCCCACATGCACTGATTTTAATAGTACTACCAGTGGTGTAAGGTCTGACTTAGTGTGACTCAAGAATGGCAGAATTGGGCCAAAGGTAAATAACTGATTGTGATGAATGGACACAATCAATAGCAAATTCATTTATGAAGTAGTCCTAATTGGTGTTCTACTTAATAGGATTATTTATAGTGCAGCCTACAGTAATGTAATCTCTCACTGGACATCCATATTTACACAACAATTTGTATAGCTATATAACGGCATGAAGTTAAATTCCCAAGCCCATTAGTATATTAATGTAAGTGAACAAACCATGAACATGTTTAGAATAGAAAAAATATCAAGCTAAAGTTTAGATGTATAAAAATGCTATTTTAGATTTAAAAAGCCTACAAAATCTACAAAAGGCTGGTCAGAAACATATGCATTTTTACACATTACAGTAGGAAGTGAAATTGGCTGTAATCAAGGCACAAGAACACCACAGTTAATAATTTTACATTCTACTACAGGCCTTTCATTGTACGTAGATACATCTTCTAGTTTCTGAAGAACTTCTGTACCTTCAATCAGCTGTCTAAAGTAAAGGTGGAAATTATATATACATAAAAAGTCAGTAAAATTATAGTTAACTATCTGATCACTACCATAAAGCTCTATACTTTTAGTAATCTATTTGATCATTTGAGTTCCATGGTATTCATTTTCCAATACAAGTTATGTTAAATGTGCATGATTTAACAAAAATGTAGGAACATACATATGTATAAATGATGCATATGGGTAGAGGATCAGGAAAATACACCAACAATTTGAAGATCAGGAAACACAATAATTTAGTAGTGAATACAACTGTGTTATCTACCTTCAGTGCCTGTTAGTGGTCAGAGCAAGTCAGTTAGAAATCCTGAATTCCTTTTATTAGGCTATAACAACATAACTATAGTTTTCTCAATATGGCTGTCTCTTAAAATAAAGGGTTCATGTCTTATATGTTCTTTTCTTTATAGGATTGTTCTTCACAGCAAACTAACATTCCAGCTGTTTGCTCTGAAAATATCCCACTATTTAGCATTTTAGGAGATAGAAAAATGCTATACTTTGAGCTATCTGTAGCTGTAATTATTCAAAGCAATATATGCTGCAGCATGTAGACACCTTTCCAGAATTTTGTGGCTACAAGTGTCCATGATATCTACTACCCTTCTTCCATTTCAAGAAGAAAAAGGTCAAGAGGAATATTGTCAGAAATTGTTCTGCATTTAATTAAAATGGTTGAGTCTCTCTCTCTTTTTCTCTCACACACACTTTTCGAAGACTTAGATCAGTTTTCTTCTTAATTAATCTGAATCATGAAACCGATACAACAATTTACAATTCTAAACTGTCCTGAGCTGCAATGTGTAGGGCTCAATCTTATAAAACCCTTTGTTAAGCTGTGTACAGATGGGTTTGCTAGCAGTTCATGTAGAGAACTCTGCACCTTATCTTTGGCACAGGTATTGAGGATAGGGGGAGGATATGTTAGAAGGTTGTGAATGGATCACGGATGTGGAACGTGCGTCCAGGACAGGCCAATGAGGTGTGCAGTAGCTATTTTAATGTAAAAGTTTCTATTGCATGTTGTTGCATACCTGTGGAATGCCAAGGCGTAAGGAGTGGTGTGCCAGTTTATAGCATGGTAACTCCATATAGTGCTGAACTGCCCTCTTTGCGGCACTCTGCTCTTGCTGGAGTAAGCTCCTAATATGTTTATACACTGGGCAATGTTATAAGAGCAGTGCTTGAAATTTCCTGTGTTTTTAAAGCAGGGAGTTTCTGGTAAGATAACAAGAGACTCCAGTGTACAGTATAGAAATTAAAGTCAGATGCCACTGATTTAAACACATCCAGTTAGAACTTATTTTAAGTTTGTTTTTTGCATGTTGTATTGGTATGCCTTTTTTTTTTTTTGCTTTTGAAATGCTGTACTCCTCTATGGTGCATTAGACAATAATCACCCTGGCATGAGAGTCTTGTGCCTCCCACACTCCCAGTCCCTTTATGCTAGGAACTGCTAGCTGGGGAAAAGGATCTTAAAAGCTCCAGGGTGAAATCCTGCCTCCACTGAAGTCATTGGGAGTTTTGCCATTGTCTTCAATGGGGCCAGGATTTCACTCCTGGCTCTGGCTGGGGAAGGATTCCCCTGGCGCAAGCAGTGCAGAGGCAGCTCTATATTGCTTTCCCAGGACATCTTTGCAATCTTTGGGGGCTGTTTTTTCTTAGGCCAGGTCTACATTAGGAGCGCTTTGTCCATATAACTTTACTAGTATGCTGTACTGACAAAGTGCTTTTAGTGTGGATGTAGCTTATACTGGCAAAACTATGCTTTTTCCAATATAGCTTATTCTAGCCTGCCTGAGTGAAATACATTATACCAGTAAGAGTGCAGTTTTGCAGGTATAACACTGTCTACACTAGGGATTTTTGCTGGCTCAGCTATGTCAGTCAGCAATAGCACCTCCTCACACCTCTGAACAACACAGCTATGATAGCAAAAGTCTACTGTATAGACCTGGACATACAGAGGGCCCCAGACCTGCCTTATGTTTTGCCAGGAGCCTCTCTAGCCCCTGGTGTAGCTTCAGACTGGGAGGGTGCAAAAGTGGCTTAAACCCTCCGTCCCTGAGCTGTGAGTTCTGTGCTGTGCCTCTCAGAGATGCAGCACAGAATCTCAATCTTGGGCAATGGTGTCTTAGATAACTAGGAGTACTTTTTTAAAAACATTTTAAAATGATGTCTCTGTAGTATACATACCCAAAAGCCACATATTTTTTATCCATATAGGGAGCTGGCTGTAGTGTGACATAAAATTGTGAACCATTGCTGTGACGTCCCTTGTTGGCCATCCCAAGAATCCCTCTTTTGTTGTGAGGAATGGAAAAGTTTTCATCTAGAAAGTTTACAGTAATAAATGATCATAGATTTAGTTTGCCTCCTTCCACTTTTACTCACTGTTCCAACTGCTACAGCCCCTCCTCTTCTACAACCCCTTTCTCGCCTCTTGCTTCCTTCTCCCTCTCCCCCATTCTTATTACTTTCTTTCCCATTATATACTGTACATTGGGAGCCTTTCAGCAGGTCTCCCTTCAACTTGCCCCCAAGCTACTGAATGGAAATGAAGGGGACTACAGCTTCCTTTGACTCTGGATCACTGGATTCTGCTTCCTAGAAAGAGGTTTAGAAATAATTTTGGGTTATCCTCCTGGAAAAAAACCTTAGTGATAAATATTCAAAATGTAGTTGCTAACATGCTGCAGACTTTTTTAATATTATGACAATTCTGCTATATCATCTTTTATTTGAGGATCTTAGAGCACTTGAGAAATAACAGTGTATAGGCTGGTTAGCATTATTCCTATTTTATGGATGAGGAAACTGAGGCACTTAGAAGGGAAAGGCCTGATTTTCAGCGGTGCTAAGTACTCATAGTTCTGTGCCATAATGACTTGTCCTGAGTCAGATGGTAAGTCAACAGCAGAACGAAAAGTAGAACCCAGAACTGTTGACTCCTAGACTCTCATTCTAACCCTCCATATTAACTTCCAGTTGCTAATTTTTAGGGAGCACCAAGTTCTATCATGTTCTGGGAACTATATGATTAAAGGCCAGCTGGGGCTATGGGATGGGATAAAAAGGGAGAGAGTTAGCAGTGGTGACAACACTGGATTTATTGCAGTTTCTTCCCTTGGCATTAGACAGGGATGAGGATGAAAAGAGACACTGGGCTACAATTTTCTTTCCACCTTTGCTCAGTGTTCTGTGCAGCGATCAGAGAAAATCCAAAAATCCAATGCAGCCATTGTCACCGCAGAGCTTACTTTCCTCACCAAAGTACACATTACACAATGCCATGCTTAAACACAATTAACTAAACCACATCAAACAGAAGCTATTTTATCAGAACAGCTTACAATAACTGGCATGTTTATTTAGAAGACTCGCTCTGTGCTGTTTGCTGCATATGGAGAGTTAACAAGAGCAAATAAAAAGCAAACTGAAGTCAAAGGAGTTACAGCAGGGATGGAGAGAAGAGCTAAAAGAGCAGAGGTAGGCAGCAGCTTATGCAGGGACCTGAAGGCCAGGACAAGTTGCTTAGGACTGTTGTGAAGGGTGAGGGGATTAGTTGAGGGGTAGAACATGGCTGGAGTGGCAGGTAATTTAGATATTTGCAGCAGGATTTCGGAAGGATGACAGGCTATCATGGAGAAGATGGAGAGTTGTTTAGCAAATACACTCATAGCACAAAGAACAGATTTTTAATTGAGGAAGTCTGAGTGGTCCCTGGATTTTCTCCAGAAGCATTCCGTGGTGCAGAAGAGTAATGGATGCAAAGTGTACGACACATTTTGGAGGTGGGAGAGCCCAAGAAACAGGGTGCAGAAGAGAAAAGAGTTGTTGATGAACATGAGTCAGCTGAGGAGAGGGAGGCCAGGGAGGGAAAGAAAGAGGGTGGAAAACCTCAGAGAATGAATACTGATGGACAGGAAGTCACAGAAGGAATGTGAGATATGCCTGGGGGATGGGGATGGTGGAGGAATTGATACGGATCTGCAAGCTGAAACATCTCTAAGCCCCTTTGCTGCTTAGGCGGATATATCATATTGTGTAAGCAAGAATCCAAGGAGAGCTCTTCACAAACTCAAAAGGACTGATGGAAATTTGGGCTGAAGATGTGAGTAGGGACTTTATTATTCTTTCATGTTTTGTTATTCTTACTCTATTTGAGATTTGTTCTCCCAAACTAATTAATAAAAATGGCAATTAAATTCTAAATGAAACAGTTGCTCCTATGCTGCTACTTGCGAATTGCAGTAATGACTTCAGCAGTGTAATTTTGGATTAGGCTTCTTTGTTTTAAAAAAAACGACACTTCAGTCCAAGTGGTTTTCTGTAATTACCTCAGTACTTTGCGCTAATTTCAGGGAAATGTAGAAACATCCCATTCATTTCACAGACTATTGCAGTGAATGGATGTTTGTCAACTGTGGACATTCATAGAATCTTAGCATATGTGAGTGGCATGTGTCACTGTTCTCAGACAGCAAAAATATCTATGTAAATAGTTTGGTGGAAAACAGTAGGAAAGCCATATAATCATCACATTAAAATTCCATATCTGAGTGAGCACCTTTATAAAGGACTGAAAAGAATTATCTTTTAATTTTAAAAGAGGGTACAATATGGACAATCTTCTCTTTTGAAGAATTGGTATTTGTGGTGTGTGAAAGAGGGTAATAAAATTCCTTTTAGGGACAATTATAAGGTTGACAGAACTCAAATTAAGTCTATTTTAAAATTAAATTACTTTCCTAATCCTATAATATCTACCGCTGCCTCAAACAGAATTACAAGAGTGATAAAAGACAAGCTTCTCTCCAAGATAACAAATGACAGGTACTGGGTTTGTCTGGAGGAACACACACAGATTTGCAAGTCACTAAATCCTCTAATTTGATAATCCTGACTCTGCCAATGTCTTGCTGTGTGGCCTTGGGCTAGTCACTTTTCCTCTCTTAGTTTTCCCTATCTGTAAAATGGAGAACACACTACTTACCTCACATGGATGTTGTGAGGATTAACATTGGAACAGCATGTTGTATATGTAAAGCACTACAAAATATTAAGTACTAGAGTGGCATTTATGCCACAGTCCTGCACAGAGTGGGTGGAGCTACACCAGTCCAGGAGAAGCAACGGCAGAGGTTGTGCCTCAGGCACACACTCTCCCAGCTGGGGCTGCCCAGTGCACACTGCTGTTTGTTTTACGATTGCCCAGATTGTTCCTGCCAGCAGGATAGCCCACAGTTTCCAGAACAGCTCTGGAGCAAGTGCACTGAAAGAGAACATATAAAGAATAGCAGATGCACAGCTGGTAGTGTTCCAGTACCGTCTGTATTAGTTATCTATGCAGCGTGGGTAGGGAAGAGGAATCGAATGAAGATTTCTAGCATGTTATTAAAATGTCTTGGTTTCCATTGATTTATCTTATAGACCTGATTGATGGTTTCCCCAGGAAACAGGTTACTTTCTTGCTGAGAATCCTGTGTTCTGAGGATCTATGCTTCACACTACTCCAGGTGCATGTGATGTTGGAAGGAGGACAGGCCACTCTCCGACTTTCTCTTGCCCAATTTTTGGTAGGCAATGTGCAGTGCTGCCTGAGGGAAAGGGACAGGGACTCTGAGAAAAGGTTGCAGGCTTTGTGGGAATCATTTGTTTAATTTTCAATGACTTGAAAGTTCCTGTAAACTTTCCTCCATGTCTATGCTACTTTCCAGCAAGGCAGCACCGTAGCAATAATTCATATGTTCCTAAAAACAGTCCAATTACCTGGATATAGTTTAAATGCAAACTTTGCTTAGTCCTGCAGTCTCAAGGTGCGAATCACTTCTTATTGTCACTGAAAACTTAACTGTCTTTGAAAACAAAGACTGCAGTTACACTTGGTGGGTGAGGCAATATCTTTTATTGGACCAACTTCAAGAAGAGCCTTGTGTTGCTCGAAAGCTTGTCTTTCTCACTAAGGGTACGTTTTCACTACCCGCTGGACCGGTGGGTAACAATCAATCTATCAAGGCTCGATTTATCGCGTCTCGATTTAGATGCGATAAATCAATCCCCGAACGCGCTCCCCGTCGACTCCAGAACTCCACCAGGGCAAGAGGCGGAAGCGGAGTTGACGGGGGAGCCGTGGCCATCGATCCCACGCCATGAGGACGGGAGGTAAGTCGATCCAAGATACGTCAACCTCAGCTACGCTATTCTCGTAGCTGAAGTTGCGTATCTTAGATCGATCCCCCCCCAAGTGTAGACCAGCCCTAACAGAAGTTTGTCCGATAAAAGCTATTACCTCACCCACCTTGTCTCTCTAATATCGTGGGACCAACACGGCTCCAACTACACTGCATGCAGTTACACTTGGCAGTTCTAAACTGTAGGCTGATGGCCAGTTTGCTGAAATGTGACATAATTTGCAACACTGGCAGTAAGGACGCTTTATGTAAGAGAATATAGACTAGTTCCCAGCTGGCTTTAACGGTCATAAAATATCTTTATGGCTAATTGTTAATCTAAACAGGCCCTTCCCCCTTTAAATTGCTGCTTTGACTGTTTATTTGAGTTGTTCTTAAATATTGCTCTGCCATTGACAATTTTATTATTCTTATGATTATAGGGGTTTGCACCTTTGGTTTGATGTTATGATATGTAGCTCCTGTTCAGTAATTCTAGATTCTCACAGGTAGAGTTGAGAGACTAAGGGTCTGGCTCTGATCTCACTCTGGTGAGAATCAGGGGTAACTCCATAAAGTCAGTGAAGTAACAATGCTGTATAAATGAGATCAAAATCTGGTCCTAAGACTCCAAAGCTGCCTGATTCCAGTTTTCTCAGAGTGAAAAACAAGTAACTTCCATTAATTTCAGCATATTTAAACCATCCCAGTATAATGATGTGACACAGAGGCCCATTGGTGCCAGCTGGCAAAGGTTTTGCTCTTCTGTAACAGCAACTCCTAGCAGGCTTGACAAACTCACTATACGTAACGCACCTCTTTCATAATATTTATCCATGAAGAAAATCATGTGAGGTCTTAAATGAGAGCCAGTGCCCCACTGGTTATGAATATTGTCATCAAATGTATGTACATATACTATTTAAAAAGTTATGTATGTATACTAAAAATATGTTCCTAAAGTCTGTATTAAGGGAGAGTAGACAAACAGGTTTCTGCCAGACAAAGCATGTTCATTCACCTGTCTCTGTTGGTCCGCAGGTAAAGTAAGCATTGTAAATAACAGTGGGGAGTCATTTAACAGGAGGATATGAAATCAATAGAAAAAACAAGAGACGGGGGTTCTATTGTCACTGAAGACAGACCAAGAACTCTGGGATATAAGCAGAAGTCAAGGAGAAACCCCTTTATCCTGCACCATGGAAGTAAACAGAGAGTGCATTTACATTCAAAAAAATGGGATCTCAACCAGCCTTGGAAGGAAATACTATAAAAGCCTTTGGGTGAGATAAGACTGCTTTAGACAGGAAGTTAGCCTGTTAAGTTTAGTCTCTAAAAAGCATATACTTATTTTGTATTATATGTAATCCTTCTATATCCATTATTCTTAATCACTATCTCTTATATCTTGGTCTTTGATAATAAATTTATGATTGTTTTCGCTATAAACTTATCTTAGTGCTGTGGTATTGCACAAAGAGCTGATCCTGAGTTGAATTGTGGAAGCTGGTGTGTATAGTGTTCCCTCGGGGCAGCAGGCACAGTATTACTGTTAGTGTTCAGTCAATAAGGGGCTGAACACTAGAGGGAAATGCTTCAAAGGGCTTGGGGACTAGGGTGCATCTGTTGGTTACAGCTGTCAGGGAAAGTAAGGGCAGGCAGAGCCCTGAGGAGATTGTTTGGGTGGCTAACAGGCTGATGATGTCAAGGAGCTGACACCCAGTTAATCACCAGAAAGTCTTTCTACTGCTGGAGGCAGGGGGGTAACAAGGTTTTTCACAGTCCTGGCCATTCTGAGAATCATCACAAATGAATATGTGGTATCAGTGGAAGCACAGAACCCATACTTAACATTTACCCATTATAGTACTTCAAATTTTCAAAGCCCTTTTACAAGCATGAATGTTCATAACGTTCCTGTCAGATAGGTTGTTAAGTATTATCCTTATTTTACAGTTGGAGAAAATGGACACAGACAGGTGAAACTGAAAAATCAGATAGTGAGGCAGTGGCAAAGCCAGGATTACCAGTCAGAAAAATCAACCCACTAAAGCAGTTTGCCAGGAGAACTATGTTAATAACAATTAGAGAATAATCCTGACTGATACGAGAAAGTCTAAAACCGCTGTTGAGATGTAAGTGATGAAAATGAAAGAAAAAAAACCTAACTAAACCTGAGAACACTTCAATGAAAATCCAGTTATTTACCTGAAGTTTGGCTTATGCATGGTAAGATAAGGAAATTTAAATATACCTTCAAAAGTGGGTCCATAAATTGACTCACCACCATTTCCTCTTCCAGCTGTTATGTCTGTATGTGATTAGACAAAAGTGACAGAATACAAATGTTCACCACTGGCATTAATTGACACTTTCATTGGGCAGTTTCAACAGAGGTTAAGGACATGGGTCCCAATCCTGCAACTGATAATATGCAGGTGGACTGCTGCACCTGTATGGAGTCTGGTTTGAATTCAATGGTCTTCGCACAGGTGCAACAGTCTGCCTGCATGCTATCAACTGCAGGATTGGGGCCTTACTGGAATTGCAGAATGAATTAATCTCTCACTCCAAGGAGGTGGCGTCTCCAGAAATAACTACTCCATATATACAATAAGAAACATATATATACATAAAAATACCTTCTTGTTGCTATGCTAATACAAGTACCTGCGTACCTAGTTTCCAAAGTTTAGTAACATACTTCAAGAGTGTTGCTGGACTGAGGTACTAGTCTTAAGGAACAGATTTCAGTATATGAAAATGTGCCACAGTGAATACGCCCTGTATCCATAAATAATTACCCGTGCTTAGAACAAGGGATGATGAAAATAAGGATCTGATAATATAACAAGTCAGGGCCAGCAAGCCTTTAGTAAACTCCCAGCCATTACGCAAAACTGACAAGTATAGGGAACATAAAAACACAATTGAAAAGAGTTTGAAAAACAAAAAACAAAACAACTTGTGTTAGTTTATTTAAACTCTTGTATATGCCAGTCAGGTAAAAGGAAATCCTCCTCAGAAGTAAGCCAATTATTTTAAGTTGCTCTTCTGGACCTCAGATGTATTTCTGTTAGTTACTTGGGAAAAGCAAAAAGGATATCTTGGAAATCTGATCTTAAAATGGCATTAAGTAAACAATGTTTGGAGTAGGAAGGAAACAGGGAAGAGTTGCAGGGAGGTGAGAAAGGGAAGCTGAGAGGAAGAAATGAAGGAAATCCCTTCAAACACACCTAACTATGTTTACTTTTACTGAAATGCTCTGTTTTCTTGGATTACTCATAATTTACTAAGCTATTTCCTAGATTCATAATGACACTTTTCAGGCACAACCCCAATGTTCAAATATGCTCCATGTCACCAAAACCTTTGGATATCTATGACTGGTTAAATACTCCTGTAAAGTAACATCTATACAAAACACATAGGATGTTTCTTATGGATTTTCTCAGTGTTTAAATGTTTCCAGCTAATTTCCTAATTTCTTGCCAAAGAGGCTTGTGAAAAACTTTTGGCTAATTAAAAAAAATAATAATATGGACTACTGATTCCTTATCCATGTTTTGCCTATAATTAGGGAACAAGATCACCAAGAGAGAAGACACTGCTTTTTGTTGTATATACACCTCAGTTAAAACTTGCCCATCACAAATTGGTTACATCTCTAAGTTCAGCTTTATTTTGTTGGACAAAATCTACTTTTCATGCTGATTATTCTATCCAAAAATCTGAATTACACCAGATTTACAGAAGATGCTTTTAAACCCACCTCCTCCTTGTAGCCAGCCATTTTTTACTAATCGATGAAAAACTGACTCTTTATAAGTAAGCTCCAGACCACTGCGAGAGGTCCCTGCTTCTCCTGTACACAAAGAGCGAAAATTCTCACAGGTTTTGGGGCACATATCAGAATAGAGCTGCAAAATGAAGGGAAGTAAGTTTGTAAATAACTTCAAAAGGTCAGATCCTGCAGCTCTTTCTCTTGAGATAAGGGCTGCAAGACAGGGCCTCATGTTTGCTCTTTTCTTCTTTATCTTACCTCAAATAACAAGGTGCCTGTGGGCTGCTCCTGAATAGCTATGTCCAAGTACACAAACACATGCTGTTTAAATCAGGAAAAAAATCCAGTTAAAAAAAAAAGAGTCAAATATCTTCTAAGTGTTCACTATTATGATGAAAGACAGTTTAGCTGCTCTGTAAAATGTTCTCAGGCTTCTTTTTATAATGAACCCATAATTAGGTATCAAAACAGCTTTTAGAAATAATAAAATATTAGCTATATAATTTAGTATTTTGTTGAAACAAAAAATATTCAGTAAGTTTCAGGTCATTCTTGGACAAAAAACACCATTATATTGCACTAGAAGACATCAGGCTGGGCCCATTTCATCACTGGTGTAAGCAGGTGCAGGTTCACTGAAGCCCATGTAAGATCACAACCAATTAATCCATAGTAACACTGACTGCTATACCAAATGGAATCCTTTTGCTGGATGGCTAAATCACTGGTCAGATATAAGGAGGTAAATAATTCAATTCCAGTCAGCAAGAAGCAAACTTAATAATTCAGCATTTTTTTTTAGGATAAATTGATCTCTGATAGGAAAAAGACTTAAAAAAATTATATGACAACTGAATTAGATTTTCCAGAAACATTCACAAAAATTAACCCATTAATCAATCATCATAGTGTTTGGAAAAGGATCGAAAAGTTCTGCTGCTTATCTGGACATCTGGGGAGAAACCATGGCCCCGCTGAAGCCAGTTTTTGCCACTGACTTTGATGGAGCCAGGATTTCACCCCTTGAGGGTATGTCTACACAGCAGCTGGAAGCAAGCCTCCCAGCTCAGATAGACAGACTCACACTAGTGGGGCTTGAATTAGTTCACTAAAAATAGAAGTATTTACACTCAGGCATATCAGGTTGGAGTTGTGTGGACTTGAGAGCCCAAGCACCAGCCTGAGCTGCAACATCCATACTCCTATTTTTAGCCTGCTAGCTTAAGCCCTGCTAGGATGAGTCTGTCTACCCAAAGTGGGAGGCTTGCTCACAGCTGCAGTGTAGACATATTCTGGAAATCTCAAGAGAATAGGTTTACTCATGAGATTTGTAGAACTGTTGATTTTGGTCCTAGCTGAAATTTCACAAAAGCATTTCTTTCTTTGGCATTTCAGCAGTTTTCATTCCAGTTCTGACCAGAAACAACTTAGCTCTATTCTGTCTATATTCCCTGGCTGCTGAGAGAGAGGGGACATTCTCTCCTTCCTCTTCCTCCTCGCTGCCAGTAGGAGGTGGCTTTCCACAATTTCCCTCCCCTCTTGGCTGCTAGGAGAAACAAAATCTCCCACCTCATTTCTCCATTCCCTGGGTATGGAGACAACTCTTCTTCTTTTCCATAACTCTGGTGGGATTCCAGTGATTATTTCTCTTTGCTGTACCTTCCATGTGGTGGTGGGAGGGAGGAGAGGATCTAGGCACTACAGTGCAGTTGTCTCCTTTCATTTCTTGTTGGGCTTGCCATTTTGCCCAGTAAGCATGAGGTAGGGCAGGGAGCACTCTGATTAGTCTTCTGCTCAAGATAACTAGTAAGTGTATTTCACCAAAAGTCCTTTAGTATGACAGCGGCATGAACTTCATTGTAAGTCTATGGTCTTAGACATTGAGAGTGCAAATCAAGAAGTCAAAAACTGGGTGGCAACCATACTGCAAATTTATATGGATGTATCTATGAAGTCATCAATCCCTCCTATCCCCTCTCCAAGACCCCACTACCCACCAAATCGCAAGCAAACAAGCAACCCATTGATAAGTCACATCAAATAATTACAGTTAGATAGCATATAGCTGGTAACAGACCCTACAATTTCCTATTAGAAACCAGTGTAACCTGCCTTGGTGTTTTGCATATGTTTGGTGCAAAAATCCTCAGTAATAGCTTGGTAAAGTGCCACAGGTTTAAAATCTTGGTAGTTCCACTTGTCATAAGCCCACTTGAGCAGTTCTTGTTCACTTCCCAGCAGTTGGCCATCAATAAAACACATCACGCTGGAGGGATACTCCCAGGTTTCACCTTTCAGTTCCTGAATTTAGAAGAAAAATGAAAACCTGCAGGAATTACACTTTGGATTTAGTACAGAAGCAGTCAGTAATACATACTCAGATTCCATGCTGATGAATGTGGTATAAATACCTAGTTAGATGGATTTTTTTCAGTTTTACTTGTTAGGTGTTTATGCTTTCCCTTCCCAAACTCCAGCCCCCCCTAAGACCACCACCATGAAAAATAAAACATAGGAATCATACAACTATATTTTGCAACTTCTTCTGAAATCAAGAATAAGTGTCCAAAAGTTATAGAAGGCTTTCCAAAATCCTGTTATAACAGAACATGATCATAAAAATTATTCTGGTTCCACTTTTGGGTCAGCTTGGAGGTTTGCTTTGGCAAAACCCATTCACCAAACTAGGTGCAACCTCTATAGTTATCTATAATTAATCAAGGATACCCCAAGGGAAGCAGGGGCTCTAAACCACATTTCAGCACACTCATATGTAATTGTTGAGTCTTGTAATTATACTGATTTTTTTAAAGAGATTTTTCCCACCATTGCTATAGCACTTATGCAATTTCATCAGGGCAAGTAACGGTGAGAGAACTAGTATTCAGCAACTTCTGAAATTTTTAACAGAGCAACTCTAGACAACAGGGAGTAAAAACACTGGTAGCTGGTCCACTCTAATACTTCCCCATTATCTGCTCCAGTGCCACAGCAATGATGGGAGATATATTCAGATATACTAAGAAAACTCAGCATAGACATGGCCTAGGGTGGGCTTGTCTACTTTGTGAATTAGCATGCAGCAAGCCAGGGTATGAATCTATAGTGCACCAGCTTGCCATGCAGTGACTTGACATAGGGGCACTGCTACTATGCATTAAAAGTGCTGGTGGCAGTGGCCGCCTGGCAAGTTTGTGCACAGGCCATTCATGTTCTGGCTTGCCGTTCATTAACTCATCAAATGAGACAAAGGGCTTGCTACACGAACAATGATGCAATATAGCAACATATGTAACCGAAAAATCATAAAACAAGAAATTAAGAGCCAATTCTGCTCTCAGATTTATGTTTGCAATTTGTATTGATTTTAATGGACCCGAGGCTCTTGTACCACGCACATCACTAGCATATCTAAGACTCTAAATAGATTAGACTGGAACAGAGGTTGCCCCTATGTTTGTTGACCTTAGTTGCAATTTTGGCAACTGTAATGACTGAGCCATTTTTGTTGGCCATTGGAACAAGCATCTTTATGGTAGATATATGTAAGAACCCTATTAGGCAAGTCAGATTTTTCATTTTTTTTTTAGGATTTAACATAACAAAGATTATTAAAAAGAATAAAGATTATATTAATGGGGGCTTTCTTCTTTCAGAATTAGGTTTATTATAGGAATTAACGCGGAGACTCAAGATACATTAATATATAGAAAAAAATTGCCTAAATACCTAAGCATTCACTTTTTAAACATGTTTCATTAGATTGTGATAGTGAAATGTATTAGAGGGCAAGGACAAACCTAGCTGGTAAGGACGTAGGGTAAATTCAGTCCTGGTGAAAGCAGGCACAATTCAATTGTCTTCACTATAATGCTGCTCACTAATGCCAAGGCTGAATTTGGCCCCAAGCTTCCATATACAGCATATTAGCATCACTGTGGTAATAAGTGTTGCCTATACGACCTCTGAAGTCTTAATTTCAAGGAAAAGTCTTCAAAATACTGCTTCTCTGTTGTAAAAATTCCAATTCAAAGAGGGGCTAGATTGGTAATGGTAAAAAGAGATCAGAAACTGCTATATAGAGGACCAAACGTGGGTCCTTTATATAGCAGGGAAGGAGAGCTAAGAACTGATGATGTCAAGAAGGCTGATATGTTTAAAGCATATTTTGCTTCAATCTCCATTAAAAGGGTAAATGTTGACTAAAGACTAATACATCTCTACCTCGATAGAACGCTGTCCTTGGGAGCCAAAAAATCTTACTGCGTTATAGGTGAAACCGCGTTATATTGAACTTGCTTTGATCCACCGGAGTGCGCAGCCCCCGCCCCCCGGAGTGCTGCTTTACCGCGTTATATCTGAATTCGTGTTATATCGGGTCACGTTATATCGAGGTGGGGGTGTATTAACAACAATGGGCAAGGAACACAAGACAAAATAGGGAAAGAATAGGTTAAAGAATATGTAGATCAGCTAGGTTTATTCAAGTCGGCAGGGCCTGATGAAATTCAACCTAGGGTACTTAAGGAACTAGCTGAAGCAATCTTGGAATGTTAGCAATTATTTGATAACTCAGAGGAGAGGTGACGTCCCAGAGGACTGGAGAAGGGCAAACACAGGACCTCTCTTTAAAAAGGGGAACAAAGAGGAGCCAGGGCATTGTAGACCAGTCAGACTAATTTTGATACCTGGAAAGATACTGGAATAGTGTAAGTTCACTTGTGCCTGCCTCAACACAGGGGGCTGGACTAGATGACCACTCAAGGTGCCACCCAGTTCTACATTTCTATGATATACAGGACCCCCCCCCCCAATACAGTTGAATTCTTAGTGGCAGATTTAGCAGAGATGCCAAAAACTAAACGGATGCGCAAGGTGGTCTATTCTGTTCAACCCTAGAAGTGGTCTCCTCAGACTAGGATCCAGGCACATTGGCAGGCCAATCTGGGGAAGTTTGCACTTGCTACTGCAACTGCTGTAAATACAGGACTTGGCTTTCTAATGCTTCCCAATGCTATATCTTCTGCAAGCATTACAAATATATTTAAAATAAGGTTTCCACAGAGAAAAGCACAGACCATTGCCCTCCTCTTTTGGACTAGTTCTACCTTAGTTTTCTTCCCAAACCAAACAAAATACCTGCTTATTTTATTTGTTTCTGCACCAACCAAATGGTATTATGAAAACAACTTGGAGAAGGTATCGAACCCCTTTATCTTTATCTACTGCATAGTGCATATCTACTTCACTTGACAAATCAGAACTAAATCTAGGTAATTCAAGCACAATTCACTTTGGAAAAGAGGCACCTTTTTTTTCTCCTGTAAATATTCATGCCATGCAAATTCTAATAGAGGAAGCACTACAGGCTCTGCAATCTTGGTCGGAAAATTCAGCCTCAGAGCCTAGATTTTCAAAATAAAAGAAATATTTATTTACAGGCAGTTTACTTAAAAAAAAATCCCATTACATTTTGTATTCTCTTATTCAAACAGATTAGGATCCAGGCACTATGTTTTAGTTTGATTATTTCATAGCAGTTTTTTCACACATGTAACATAGCTCCAGACAGTTACATAAGACTACACAAACTGTTTTAAATTAGTATTTTAAACTTAAAAGGTTTTTTAGCATTTGCAAAAGCTGCTGCTTTCCCAACATTAACGAGTTATACTCACACTACCCCAATTAGGGAGGGAGGATAAGCAGATGGGGAAACTGCCACAGAGACACTGTGGCTCTCTGAACATCATCAGTTGCTCCAGACTTCATGGAGAGTTGCAGATGCTCAGCATCTTGCAAAATCAGTCCCAAAGCCATCGAGTGAATCAGAGGCACAGTGAGGATTAGAACTTGGGAGTTCCTGAATTCCAGTTCTTGTTACCTCTATCATTTTATGAACAGTACAGTAGAAGTTAGATATGGAACATTCCTGTTAGACCATTTAGGCTCATCTCCTGGAGTGCGGAATTGTTTCCAGGAGTATATTTTCTAGACCTTTATTCAGGCTGGTTTGCAATGTCTCAATAATAATTTGTATTTCTATAGTACCTTCCATCTAAGAATCTCAAAATGTATTAAAACATGAACAAATTAAAGATCTAGACCCTGCAGTGCTTTACACAGATCATGGCCCTACAGCCAGGGTAGCTGGGCACTGGAGGATCATCCCAATGTAGGAGGCTTCTACTGAACCCCCACTCTCTGATCCCGCATTAGCGTTTGTGGCCAGGGTGTACCTTCTCCCCCCACCAGCTGTATCTGCAGCTGGTAAATTTAGACTGCTCTAAATAAAGATGAGGGACAAGCTCAGCAGCCAGCCTGTTTAGGATTAGCATAACAAAAGGTCACATTTGCATACCCCATCCTAAGCTGAACTGTGTGCTGCTTGGCTATGACCAAGGACCTGGGTCTCAATCTCCCAGCACCCCTGCAAGGTAGGTATTTTTTACTCATTTTACAGTAGGGAAAATTGAAACGCATAGAAGGGTTACGTGACTTGCCTAAGGTTGCGTGACTTGCCTAAGCAAGTCAGATGTTGTTTCATTATATTTAAAATCTTGTGTGGCATCACAGTATGCAATAAATGCTTTAGGATCCTTCAATTGTTTGTTCTAAGTACCACATGCTTGACAACAAAAAACTGTACAACCAATAAGTAGATACCAATGTGAAGGGAACACTATAAATGCATACATAAGATTCAATTATAAACGCTAAACTTTCTAAAGAACAAAAGGCAGAATTTTAAATCTTAATTTCTTAAAAATATCTAGGACCACAGACAGTCGCCTAATTTGCCTTGTATTTCATTTTAACAACAATAATGCCAGCCACTATTTTTGCAATCTCCTGTCCCTAGAGCCCACAGAAAGCAAAAACAGAATGGAAGAATTTCAAACAGTCTGCTTTCTTCTGCTGCAACAATGGCCTGGGAGGAGTTACCTCTGCTGTACACTTTGCCACGTGGAACACAGGCTCCTTGAGAAGCCCCACCACCGTCAACTGCTGCAACTGCAGGGGACCCATGGCACCCTCACCCCACTGCACACTGTCTCCTGGTTTTTCCGCCTTTGGTTGCTGCTCCTTTGCTAGCTGCCCAGCCCTGCTCCAGGTCAGCTGGAGGAGGGAGTGTAAACAGAATTCTGCTCACCATAGCAACTCCAATCACAGGGCTAGTGCTCTGCACTTCAAGTTGTACTACAAGCCTTACTGATCGAAACGCCGCCTGCACATACATTATCCATGTCCTAGTGCCGTGCAGGGAAGAGGGATTGTTTATGTGAGTGCCACTTTCACTGGACATTTTATTAACACAGAGCTAGATCTTTAACTGCATCCTACAGCGGTCTCCTTGGGTGGAGTTTTCAAATGTGCCAAAGTGACTGAGGTGCACAACACAGACAGCTAGGATAGTCAAATCAGCAAATGAAATTTAAAAAATAGTACAATAGACAAAAAAAATGAAAAGGTAAATAAAGATAAATTAATAGCAATAGAATGTTTATTTTCTTCCCATGAGAGAGACACCTCCCACTAAAACCTCTATCCATAATTAAAACTGACCTACTTATGGAGGTTAGGTGGCTATATGGGTACGTGCACCCACCTTTCACTCTTTGGACAGTTAAATTCAAATCTTCTTTTAGAAATCACACAAGAAAATTTACCTGTCTTAAGTATTTATATCACTTCTATTAACATGGTATCTAAGTGCTTCTATGATGGTGTGTTCATTCCACACTGGCCTGGAAAGGGTTAATGTGACCTATCAAATTTCTTAGCCCCTTAGAACCACACCTGAGGGGAGACAGGCTTGAGAGGCAAGCACTGACTGAGGATTGAGCCCAGCTGGGCAGGAGCAGGCAGGGCTGGCGTAAGACCAGCAAGCAAGGGTAGAAGGAGACTACAGCATGGAAGTCTGCAGTCACTCTCTGGACTTAGAGCAGGAAAAGGTGGAAAGTCAGGAAGAAAGCAGTCCCGGGATCCTGCTCCTGAAGGGTTTATGTAGAGGGGTGGTAGAGAAAGAAGCTTGATAGAGGTGAACTAGAAGGCAGTCTAGGGAAAAAGCAGTAGGGTAGAGCAAACCTTGGCTGCTGATTGAACGGTCCCTATGCTGGAATGCATAGCTGGCAGGACTGGGTTCCCTTACCAGCCACTGAGGAAATGGCATACCCTTGAATTGGGGGACTGCTGGGAACAATGGGACAGTCCAGTAAGACTTTGATGGGAATGTTGGAAGGATTCATTAACTAATATTGATACTAGATATTGAAGCTGTAAAGTTCTGTTTGAGACCTTGTCTGCACTACATATGATTTGCCAGTATAGCGATACCAGCAGAGCCTCCCAGTGTAGATGGAGATTGTGCATATGCCAACAGAATGCATTTTACTCCTCCCCAAATACCACTTGCTATGCCAGCAGAAGTACTACGGGAGCATAGTTGCCTTGCTTTTGCTGACATAGCTCTGTTAGCTTGGGGGTGTATTTGTATGTTTGTTTTTGTTTTTAAAATATCCCTGCCTGACATCACTATGCTGATAATACTCTGGCGAGATCTACACTACGAAGTTTTAAGTATTTTTTATTTACTTGAATAAAATGGTATTTTCTGAGGATGGTGCTTCTGACTTAATTTTGTAGTAAAACAATATTATAAATTTAAACTTAGTCATGTTATATATTGAAGTTATTGGAGCTACAATAAAATTAAAAAGGATCAAACCCAAACTGAGCTACCTTTTAATCAACAATTTGCTTCTGTAACTCAGCTCTCTTAAAATCTACATTCATGCATGTGTCTTAACCGTAATGCATGTCTCTCTGACTAGTACATCCAAATAGCATTAAATGTTCAAACAGTACATAGCTATGTGATATAATAAAACCTCAGGCTGGCCAGATTGATAGTTATAAACTGTAACTCCTGACAGAAGATTCAAAGTTAGAAAGAATTCACAAATTATAAAAAGGACTACCAAATAATGAATCCTCAAATTTTCCCAGATCACTGTCAGGGACTGGGCACAGTGACTAAGCTGGTATTGTGTGCTGATATTCTCCTAATTGCAATAATCAGGGTCATATGTCCATGCGGATGTTGTTAGTTTCAAAGGCTGCCACAAGGTCAAGTTCACAGATTCATATACAAGGTCAGAAGGGACCACTGTAATCATCTAGTAGTCGGATCTCCTGTATAGCAGAGGCTGTTGAACTTCCCTCGATTAATTCCAGTTGGAACTACAACATATCTTTCAGAAAAACATCCAATCTTGATTTAAAGATTTCCAGTGATGGAGAATCTACCACAATCCTTGTTAAGCTTTCCAATGGTAAATTATCCCCATTATTAAAAACTTGTGCCTCATTTCTAGTCTGAATTTGTCTAGGTCAGGGGTGGACAAACCATGGCCAGCGTCCAGCCTGTCAGAGCTTTTAATCCAGCCCTTGAGCTCCATTGCCCTGCTCCGGCCGGGGAGTGGGGTTGGTGGCTTGCCCCGCTCCAGCAAACCCCCTCCCCCCAGCAGGTGCTGCGCAGGCGGAGCGGGGCAAGCCCCCCCGACCCCACTCCCTGTCAGGAGCAGGGCAATGGAGCTCGATGGCCGGATTAAAAGTTTATTTAATATCTCTTCTTCAGAATTAAATTGATTAACAACAATATTGCTTAATTATGGTTTACTTTGAAGCTAAAATAGTTTGATTATATTTTGGTTATTGCCATGGTCAAATGGAGAAACACGGATGATCCAACAAAGCTAATTACAAATCAAAGAAGTCACCGATAAACATGAAAACTACCAAATTTTTATGTAGTGCGGTACCCTGAAGTTTTAGCTAACATACAATTTGTGTTCAGACAGGAGCAAAATTGTGTGGTAAAATCAATAAACAGCTCAGTAATGTAATTTTCTAACTGTGCATTGTTCAACAGCATCATTTTATTTTGAAACACATTTGTGTTGTCCCGGTTTGAACATGAATTGTTAATTTCATGAGCATTCCTGGCCTACCATACAATTTCCATACCCAGGTGTGGCCCTCAGGCCAAAAAGTTTGCCCACCCCTGTCTAGCTTCACCTTCAAACCATTAGATCTTGTTCTATCTTTATCTGTTAGATTGAAGATCCCTCCTATCAAATTTCTGTTTCCCATACTTATATATTGTAAATAAAATACCCCTTAACCTTCTCTTAGTTAAACTAAACAGATTGACATGCATCTTTTACTATAATACATGTTTGCCAATCATTCTCATGGCTCTTCTCCAAACCCTCTCCAACTTATCAATATTCTTCTTGAAGTGTGGGCATCAGTGCTGGGGGGAATTCTGTGCCAAATTAAAAATTCTGCACACAATATTTTCAAGTTCTGAAAAATTCTGCATATTTTATTTGCCAAAATAACACAATATCACCACACCAGTTTCAATTATTTGTCATTTATTTCAAAATACCTGTCAGCAAGTATGTTTAACAATAGAGACAAAAAAAGAAGATTCAGAAAATGTTTTTTGACAAATAGATTCCTTACTAAGCATATTAATACAGAATTCGGAGTAATGATTAATTTAAACTTTAATACAGAACCATATTTCCCACACCCCTCAGAAGCAATGCAAAGGTTTGGGAGAGTCAGGGGTAATGGAGGAGCTGAGGGAGAGGAAAGTAATTGCTGGGAAGGAGTCTGGGTGTGAACCTGGAGGGTGATTGGTTATGAGTGGGAAAAGTATGGAACAGAGTTTTTTTCCCTTGCCTGGGGAGGGACTGTTAGGGAGCTTCCCCCATGCAGTCCCTGGCTGACCCCTAGCCTCTCCCATTTAGTCAGGCACCTCTGCCCCTGTCCCCACACCCCCATATGTCCTTGCACTCTGTCCACATATCCCTCCACCCCCTCTCCCTCATCCCCATGTGTCCCTCCACCCCCACTCAGACACCCCTGCAGCCCCCCCCGCCACTCCCATCCCCCTGTAGCTTGGCACTCCCCCCGCCCACGTGACCCTGCACCTCCACTTTCATTCAGCTCCTGCCCCAATCTGTCCTCCCCCAGTAGCCCTTATGAGCCCTGTCTGACCCTTCAGCAGCCCCACACTATCTGTCTCCCCATAGCCCGTCTCCTGACCTGGCCCAAAAAGTGTTGTGAAGAAGGCAGGCTCCTTCTCTTCCCTAGGTGGCTGGAAGCAGCTGCTGTATTCTAGTGCGACAGTGCCATCTGGTGGGCAAAAGGCAGAACTGCAGCAACATTCCCACAGAAGCTTTTTTCTGTGCAAAAAATTAAAAATATGCAAGGTTTATTAATTATGCACACATGTAGTGGTGCAGAATTCCCCCAGGAGTAACCGGAGCTGGACACAGTATTGATGGCAGCTGCACTAATGGCAAATACAGAGGTAAAATAACCTCCTTACTCAACATTCCCTTCTTTGTACATCCAAAGATTATATTATCCCTCCTGGCCTCGGCCTTGCATTCAGTTAATTATCCACCATGGCCCCCAAGTGCTTTTCAGAGACCCTGCTTCCCAAGATAGTCCCTCATCCTGTTAGTAGGGCCCTACCTTCTTTTTTCCTAGATGTATACAATTACATTTAGCGGTATTAAAATGTATATTTGCTTGTGCCGTTTACCAAGCAATCCTGATCCCTCTATATTAGTGATCGGTCCTCTTCATTATTTACCACTCCACCAATCTCTGTCATCTGCAAACTTGCAGTAATTATTTTTTCCCCCCAGGTCACTGATGAAAATGTTAAATAGCATAGGGCAAGAACCAAACTCTGTAGGATCTCACTAGAAACACACCTGCATAGTGAGGATTCCCCATTTACAATTATAGTGAGACCTATCATTTAGCAAGTTTTTAATCCATTTAACATGTGCCATGTTGATTTTATATCAGTCTAGTTTCTTAATCAAAATGTTGTGCAGTAGCAAGTCAAATTCCTTAAAGAAATCCAAGTAAAGCACATTGACATTACCTTTAGCAAATTTGTAATCTCATACAAAAAGTTGGGTTGACAAGATCTATGTTCCAGAAAGCCACATTGATTGGTGCGGGGAAGGGCATGTTAACTTGAAA